GACAGAGGATGCAGAAAAGGCTGAAGTGCTCAATGCCTTTTTTGCCTCAGTCTCCACAGGCAAGGGCAGGTCCCAGACTGCTGCAGTGGGCAGCACAGTTTGGGGTGGAGGTGAGCAGCCCTCAGTGCTGAAAGGACAAGTTAGGGACTACTTAGAGAAGCTGAATGTGTACAAGTCCATGGGGGGAACCTGAGGGGATGGGGGTGGGGAAAGAGACCAAAAAAAAAAGCAATGTTCTGTATGAAAAACTATAATCATTTTAATTCAATATTGACACCCCACATCTCGCAATAATGCGGACGGTTCCAATCGAAACCTCTGTTTTATAGCAGTAGAGGAAGGAACTCGTAAAATCCTAACAGCTTTTATGTAGTGCGGTATAAACAACAACAACATCCTGGTCTTTATGGCGCTTTATAGTTTGTTAAACAGTTTACAGCCTTTTTTGGGGGCTATTACAAACGCAATTCCCTTCATGCGATAGTTAAACCTTTATCAATAATAAGGAAATTGATCATTAAAATGTTAAATATGACTACCTCGTTTGTTTTAAAATATGTTTAGGATAAGAAGCTGTATGATTTGATAACTTGTATTAAAATACCAATTACATTTATAGGACCTTTTAAAACTGGTAGCAATTAAATCGTGTTCTTTTACAGTTTTCCAAAGCGACCCTGACATTTAAAAAGGCTAAAACTGCCTCGTTAAAATTTTGAAATTAACGACTAAGAGCGCCTCTCTTTCATTTTCCAACACTCCCCAAAAATCAATCTTTTGGGTGGTCTAGGTATTTGATTTGTTGTGAGGCGAGAGATATCTCATTAATGTAGGTAGTTAAACATATTTAATCCGTATATTCACCCCACCTCTCTCTCTCTCTCTCTCTCTCTCGCTCTCTCGCTCTCTCTCTCCCTCCCTCTCTCTCTCTCTCTCGCTTTTCCTTCTTTATTCTCTCACACTCTTCCTTTCAGAATCATGCAGTGCAGAGTCCGTGTGGAGTAAGGAGAAGCCAATAGGATGAGGTTTTGGTAATAGATGCAAATGATCATGAAAAGACACTGCAAAATATGAAACAACTCATTTGCGCCGAAGTAAATCACTGAAAACTGTTTATGAACTGGCACCTCTTCTTGGAAATGTAAAACGAGAACTCTTTAAGTGGCGATTTTTTTTTAGGGGGGGGGGAAAGGCAAGCATTCAGTATCATGCAGGCTTAGAGTTTTGATTATATCCTCCTTTTATATTCCTGGAAATCACAAACTGTTGTTGCTTAGCATCTTAGCTCTTTCTTTGCTAATAGATTCCCGTGGTTGAAAAAAAAATAGATTATATATTTAAATTAAAATGAGCTCTTATTTTGTCAACTCACTCTTCTCCAAATACAAAACCGGGGACTCCTTGCGTCCCAACTACTATGACTGTGGCTTTGCTCAGGATCTGGGAGGCAGACCCACAGTTGTGTATGGACCTAGCACGGGTGGTACCTTCCAGCATCCGACCCAAATTCAGGAGTTTTACCACGGAGCATCCTCGCTCTCCAGCTCCCCTTACCAACAGAATCCCTGCGCGGTCGCGTGCCATGGGGATCCAAGCAACTTCTATGGATACGACCCATTGCAAAGGCAGAGCCTGTTCAGTGCCCAGGAGTCGGACTTGGTGCAGTACACGGATTGCAAGCTTGCTTCCAGCGGCCTTGGGGAGGAGGCGGAGAACTCGGAGCAGAGCCCCTCTCCGACACAGCTCTTCCCCTGGATGCGACCGCAAGGTGAGGCGAGATAGAAAGGGCAGAGAGGAGGCATTTCCTGAATCCATAAAGTATCCCCTTTCCACTGTTACTTTTTACTGCTTTATGGGGGTAAACTTTTGCACTTGTAAATTGCTTTATAGTTTAATTACCCTGAAGGAGACCTTTTCTTCTCGGTGTGGCGAGCTGGGCTTTCAGCGAGCGGAGCTTCCCCAAACTTTATTGCACTTTTATAGCCTCCAAAAAAAGAGAGAGAGAGAGAGAAAAAGCTCCTGCAGTCGGTTTTTTGTGGGGTTTTGTTGTGGCCGGGCCGGATGGTACCTTCCTTTTGTGTGTTGGATACAAAGTAGTTGGGTTTTTT